AGGTGGCCATAGACTGTTCGAATCTTGGCCGTTCAGCAGGGACCGGCCTTGATGTAAACCATATAAGGGCACGCTGAATTCCCCCAAGTTAACCGATCGATCAATTTGGGTACAACCAGCCTGTGTTTTACATGCGATTATTGCTAGGGGCTATTATAGTCGCTAGCAGTACTCACTGTGTTCTCTTGACGGGGATGGCTCTCCCTGCCCCCTTACCAGCAGAACACAATAGCTCTGCGGGAGGGATTCCCCAATCAACACTGACTGAGTTGATGGGGGAAATCGAGCGATTTTTTCTTTCCTGAAAACCATGGTTGCAGGAAAAAAAAAACTGCTCCATCTATGGCCGGCTTTAATATTTACTCATTTACTAAGGATGCACTGATAACAAGTACTCGTGAAAATGCTACCGATATTTGAAACTGATACTTTGCACTGTGATTCGAGTCTATGTAAAATGTATGGACGCAAATTGCACTGCAAAGAATAGCACAGTAAAATGGCATGCGGTTTCCCTACTGCTCCTGTGTGAACCCAGGCTTGTCATAGCCTGAAATCACACAGAAGCGGTTTGGGAAACCTCCCTACACGGATCCCATGCTCTTACAGAAGGAAAAGCTGGTGATTTGAAATCCCCACAACTTTCTCTCCCTCTCAGTGCAGGGATGACAGTACAAGCTAGATGGCTTTTGACTGGTCGGCACTGTCATGGTGCTGACCAATCAGAAACTGTCTAGCCCGTACGGTCATCCCTGCAAGGAGAGGAGAGAAAGTCATATGGATTTCAAATCCCCAGACCTGTGAAACAGCTTTAAATTCCCTAAAATAACTTTAATCTGTAATCCACTCCAGACACAGACCACCTCACATAGGAAGTAGATGTGTACCTCCTAAAGAATGTGCTTTGTAAGATCCTCTCTCCCTACTTCACCAATCACGTTCATATATCCAGTGCAGGTCTGAATCTAATAGGTGGCTGTGAGAAACATCTTAATGCTGTCATGTATTATTTTTTTGGACTAATGCAGCAAGAGAAGGTGTTTGAATGCCACAAGATTACCAGGAATCAGGCTGGCACTACAGCAATGCCTAGATGAAAAACTATGATGTGGAGCAGGTAGGTTGTATGCACCTCAAAAAGTACATTTTTAGTTTTAGCTGGAGTGCATCTTTAAATAATGAAAAAAAAATAATAAAAAAAACAAAAAAAAATATGGGGATGCCTAACATCCTTCAACAATAAGAAATACAGGTTGCCAAACAAACATTCTAAAGAGCCTGATGGGAGTTTAAAAAAAAAAAAAAAAAAAGTAATGATCTACACATGACTCACCTCATCCCCTTCCACTCAAACTCATCGTGAAGAGTTCTTCCTTAAAGTCTCATTACACCATGATAAAAAAAGGAATGGTAAGCTTGATAGATACACATTCACCAACTTTTCAGGCAAGTTACATTCAGACACGGCTAGACGATACACAAGGGTCATGATTTAACAAACTGATGATCACCAAAAAGAAAAATACATTAACATGTTAAAGTTCTGGATTATACATGGTGCAGTCAATCTTGTTACTATAATATCTCTTATTTAAAAAAAAAAAAAAAAGATCGAAATTCTTTTTAAGCTATTCTTCATAATCATTATTAAGGAAACTGTAGGAAAATAATAACCCATGTGCTGCATAAAGGCGCCTGGCAGTCACAAATTTCAGATAACATTCCCAGCATGCTCCAGACTTGTGTACGCTCTGGAGATACAGAGATGACGGGTAGGAGGTTCACACGCTGCAGAAAAACCAGACCACAAAGTCCCATCTGTCGCTCCCACCAGTGTCTGACATTTAGTAATTACGGTTACATTAGTACATTGTTAAACTATCCACTATGCAGCACACATTTAAATAGTGATGACCATAGGCGGCATAACATTTTTTGCCCATGTGACAGATTTACAGAAGACTTATCACTGGAACCTAAAAATCTTTGCAAAATCCCTCAGGGGACCCAGTGCGCATATCACTTGGTCCTGTTAGGATGCATTGTATTTAAAAAAAAAAAAAAAAAATATTTTTCTGTCAGTGCTTTATGTGCATTCCTATGGGGAGGCTACAGAACAGCACAGCACTGAACCCCCACCCCACCTCTAAGCTGACTGCTGGTTTACTATTATGGAATGTACTTTGCAGAGCTGTGCGATATAGGCTGCTAGTAAACATACACAGCACTGGTTGATTTTCAGCTTGATAGGAATCACCTACAGCCCAGAAGATTGCTCACACAGCCCCACAGCACTAACTGGTCTTTAACTTTTTGTAGATGAACAGAGTTTTTATGTGAAAAGAGATTACTCTGCCCCACTGTGGTGCTAAATGGTGGAACTCATCTCCAGAGCCAAGTGCTGTCAACCAGCCTTTGTAATACAGTATATTCAAGTCCTTGCTGGCAGCGTATTTGGAAAAATTTGTGGGGAAAGGAGGGTGAGCTGTCTGACCATGCTGCTCAGCAAACACAGGCTAAATGCACTTGCTCCTCTCTGGGATTTTAAAAAGAGTTTAAGAATGAAGCGATACTTCTTCTTCAAGAGTAGCTTAGCAAACTGTGCCAAGTCTGACCCCTTAATATTAGCACCTGGGCCACGTCACTTTTATATCAGGAGTTGTGTGTATTTACCAAGTTTTGGAAGAATGGTCAAGCAGGGAGTACCTGTCATAACAGGGATCTTTCTGTGCAATCAGAAAGAGGTTTGCAGTGGGACCCAGACAGGAAAGCAACTGTTAGTGAGCAAAGGAAACAAATGCAAGTAAACAGAACATGATCCAGGTAGTAATAATTATAATGAGCCAGTGCCAAGGCTTTGTGGAGCTTTATCTTAATGAGAACCAGTTATAACTAGGCTTATGTCAAAATGTGAATATCAAGCCTTCAATTGTTATAACTGTACAGACTTGCTTTGAAAAAGACTAACTCCTTTGCTGGGCAAGTGATGCAACATGAAATGTGCCTGCTTAAAAAATAAAAAAGCAAAAAAAAAAAACAAAGAAGCAGAAAACAGAAGGTAAAAAAATGACAGATCTTTGAAATGGAATAAAACCAATCCACATGAATAAGCCTGTTCTAATTTACTTAAATCAGGTTATATAAGGAAAATGTCAAATTATGTTGGGAGTCAGAATTCTCATAACTTGGGGATGAAACGCACACATTCATGTTAAATTGGTGAAGCCTGGTTCGTCTGTGAAGTTAGATCTGACAAATGGGGAATTGATTTGCTCGATTTTAGTAAGGAACTCCGCTTTGCTTAAATTGCCACTCAGCATTTGTATAGAAGAAGCGCACATACTGGGAAATCTGTCACATTGGTCAAAATTTTGTCCGTGTATGACCAACTGTAAGAAATTTATTTTGTCTTTGTCACATTCTATACAATATCCACACAGAAACTTCCATATACATATATAATTCTATATATTCTATATTGTGTTGCACATGACAGTTTATTTTGTTTCTTTGTTGTCATAACGGCTGCCATTTTCTGACTAATAAATTAACAATATCAAAATATATTTAGTGAACAACGGATTTGTGCTAAAAGTAAAGGTATGGGATCTAATAACAGAAACACTTTAGGGTTTCCAAACTGCAACACTATAACTACTATATATTATTATATGACCTCTGCCTTAACCTACCTGCCCTTTCAATCTGCAATTCAGTAGTTTTCCAAGCACCAATGGAGAAATCGCTTGGGGAGCGTGTATGTGGAAGTGATTTACAAAGACAGGAACAGGGGAATCTAGTACAAGAGAGAAGCACTGTAAGATTAGTTGTAGCACATTAATCATAAGCTTTTTTTTGGGGGATTGTTCCCGCCCTAAAGTTTAGAAATAGCTTTCAATCTAACTCACACCTCAGACCAAGTCTAAGACATGTAGGAAATGCAGATAATATTGCAAAACAATAACATTTATTACAAATACTGGTGAAATGCTGCATATGGATTTCCAGGCATACAAAACGCAGAAAATGAATGCAAATCCTTTATGCCACTTTCAGATTTGCTCTGTAGAGTCTCCCGATTAACTCAGTCTTTGTAAATGCTTCCCTATGTGTATTAAATTTTTGTAGAAAATTTTTCTCAAATCTGAAAGATTCCATACCTCACTATAATCTGTAGCAAAAACAGGCGTGGCTACTGCAAACATTTAAAAGATTTTTCCACAGTTAAGCTGCCATCTCCCCAAAATAACAGGGGGCATAACAAACTTCGTGCATTGTTCCCAATCTGGTCATCTGTGACTGTAAGCTTCTCCAGGCATCCAATCGACTGAAAGCTTCAACTATGTCTTCTTATTCACTCCAAGAAAGGCAATTGCGGTTGCTGGGCGCAAATATATAAATATATATACTTTATTTTAGTATTTTTACAGCGACTTAGGTTTTTAGATTTTCAAACATTTTTCTTTTTAGGTCTGCTTAGCTGTGCAGGGTGGTCAGTGTGAAAAAATAACAGAACAGGCTTCTGTCATTGAATCCGATGCATTTCAAGAGCGGTGGTAATAGCTAGCTAAAAGACGATTAGAATAGCAATACTAACTGTAAAATGTGAACCAATAGGAATGACCATTTCTGTTCATGGTTAACTGTAGTAGCAGTAGTGATGGGACTGTTATGGTGAGCATGATACCTGAGAGCAAATAAATCAATTTTCGTGATATGAGTATCTGTCTGCTCGATCCGTGTTCTTTGCTTCGGCGTGTGCAAACTGCGCTAATGCCCCCCTGAGCTCTCGAGTCTTTTTTTTTTATGTTTGTTTTTAAACTTTTTTTTTCCCCCTCTCTGTAGTTTTTTTTTTTAATATTCATATATATATATCTATATCTATATATAGCTATATAATTATAGTTTTATATAGACATATATGTATCAGTGCTTTCTCTTTGCTCCACTTGTCCAGAGAAGAAATGAGGCAGAATGTATGTCTTTGTGACAGTTCTTGCTCAGTCTCGAGACTGGTAGAAGAGAATATACCCAGATTCAGAGTTCTTTGAGATGTCTGATGTTAACCCGTAGAATTCTTCAATAGCTTGTGCATCAATTTTCTGCATAGAAAGAAGAAATACACAGATGTTTGAAAAAGACAAAAAAAAAAAAGTGTGGGTAAGCTTAAGAATACATGACCACTGTGCCTCATACCATCCTGCACCGATCCATTCTCACCTCTACCAGCCAGCACTGATGCATTGTGCCTAATACTAGCATGCACTGTTCTACCATACTTTGTAACAGCCAGCACAGACCCACCACATTAAATACCTCCCTGCACTGACCCAGCAAGCCTTATGCCAGCCTTCTCTAACCCACTGCGTATTAGACTAACCCTACACACTGTACTTCTTAAAAGCCATCACATACTCACCAAGCTCACATACTCACAGCCTGTCAAACCATACTGAAAGTTCTCTTCTAAGGCCCCTGCCGCAACTTGATAAGATAATCCACCATGCATCACCATCATTGCAGTCTGTACCCCCATAACATGTTTCCAGCCTGTATTCACATTGTTTATTATATTGTGTAACCACATATAGAAAATAATTTACCTCTACAATGTCATCATCAAACAACAGCCAAAAATCATGACTTTTCACTATTGCAATATAATGTCCTCTGTTGGGACCACTGTATAAAAAAGGAAAACAAGAAACAGGTTACTAGGTCATAAAAGAGAACAAGATTAAAACATTTTTCAGAGGAATGTTAAATTTAATGGCGCTTATGTGCATTCCCTCCTCATCCGGGATCAGCCTGGAGCATGAAACCACATTTGATGACTCAGGTGTCCACTGTGGCTTGCAAGTGATGGAACAGTTGTAGAAAGGACTTACAGAAGGGAATGCCTCCGAGCAATCTGAGCATGGCAGGATATTTACTAAACTTAATACATTTATTTATTTATAATGTATTTAAAATGGCTCTCCAAACCGTGGAATACAACCTTTTTTGGATATCAGAACACAATTGGCAAAAGACTTTTAGGTCCTGTTCACAATGACATTGTTAACAGTTGTTTGGGGTGTGCTTTTGTCTATCAAAGCAGCCTAACATGAATAATATTTACAGAGGACAGAGCTATTCACATTTGGAAAAACATGTAGTGTATATATTCCTTTGATAACATGCATGCGCACGAAACGCACCAGGGAGGAGCCTGCCGTACTGACGTCACGCCCCCGCATCCTCACGGAGGTCCGGCGGCCATTTTTGTGATTGTTTGCTGCCAGCTTGTTTTTTTCTCTGTTACCCACGTGGATGTCTTTTACCTTATGCAATAATAAAGTACTACACTATAAACGCTCCTTTCGTGGCTCGTTTGTGCAAGCTATTTTCCCTAAGGTGGAATATACTGTTTCTGCTGGCTCTGTCCATGGTGGAGAGGTACCCTGAGCCATCCTGTAATGCAGCTAGAGGCCAGTGGTGGTGTTTGAAGTATGTCCCTGTAATGCTGTGAGAAGCCAGTGGGCTTCACAGCCAGGTGCCCGCTGCGCTTTGTGAATGGCCCTGTAATCTTCTGGGACCTGTAACGTGTCCCAGGAGATTATGGGAGGGGAGGGAGGGGGAAGGACAACTCTGCAGAAGTGGGAGCGGGTACCTGTCAAATTCAGGTACCAACTCCCCCCCACTCCACTCCATCTCCTGTACTGTGTCCGCAGTCTCTGGTCATCTCCTGTACTGTGTCCGCAGTCTCTGGTCATCTCCTGTACTGTGTCCGCAGTCTCTGGTCTATCTCCTGTACTGTGTCCGCAGTCTCTGGTCTATCTCCTGTACTGTGTCCGCAGTCTCTGATCTATCTCCTGTACTGTGTCTGCAGTCTCTGATCTATCTCCTGTACTGTGTCCGCAGTCTCTGATCTATCTCCTGTACTGTGTCCGCAGTCCTGTATCTCCTGTACTGTGTCCGCAGTCTCCGGTCATCTCCTGTACTGTGTCCGCAGTCTCCGGTCATCTCCTGTACTGTGTCCGCAGTCTCCGTCTATCTCCTGTACTGTGTCCGCAGTCTCAGTCATCTCCTGTACTGTGTCGCAGTCTCCGGTCATCTCCTGTTGTGTTTCTGGTCATCTCCTGTACTTCCGCAGTCTCTGGTCATCTCCTGTACTGTGTCCGCAGTCCTAGGTCATCTCCCGTACCATGTCTGCAGTCACTGGTTCAGAATATTTTTTTTCCCTGTTTTCCTCCACTAAAACCTAGGTATATCTTATGGTCAGGTGTGTCTTATGAAAAAAAAACAGTGCTGAAGCACTGTGTAAGAACAGCTTTCATGGCATTTGTTTTTTCACCTAACACACAATTTTTACCGCTGATGATCTCCTTCAGCCTCTTTCAGGGCTAGTTAACACTAGATGCAGTCCAGTGCATTTTTTTTGCATCAAAGCATGCACAGTGTTTTCCATGTATTCCAATGGCTCTAGTTCACATCAGTGCAGTCAGTTCCTGATGCAGAAAAAAAAAAGTAGAACATGCTGCATTTTTTCTGCACATAACCTTACCGGGAACATAGCAAACTGCATCAAAACTGCACTGAAATGGAGTGTAGTGTGAACTGTAAGCAAAAATGTATCCAGAATGTATCCGGAGTGCGTTTTTGTGGTGTGAACTGGCCCGTATTCATTTTTTGTCTACATGCGCTTGGTTCCTTGCCATCTGCACCTAATTGCTCTGGACTATCATCCAGATAGTGACCATAGTGTTGGCACAACCACTTGTACCCACCTTCAGGAAAAAATACTGCAAAGTGGCAGGAAACCGTTTTCACCCCATAACAGGAATTGTCTGAACAAGGACTTTAATCAGCTGGATAAACATGTAGCACTTTAATAAAAGCTGCAAATTTTAAAAACTATTGAAATCACAATAACATGTTAAAGCCTAAATTTTAGCAACCATATTTAGAATGGGGTTAGTGCAATGCAGGAGAATCTGTCAGATGCAATTCATATCAACGCATTTTAGTGCAGTGTGTTTTTGAAAAAATCCCACTCCGCGCATTTTTGATGCGGTTTTCATCATGTACATCTTGCATAGAGATGAGTCATAATGAGTAAAATACATAAATATACTGCAGCAACTGAAAAACAGAGGTGTTACTAGGCGCTCAGACCCAGCAGCATATAGAGTTTGACCAGTGTAGCACAATCATCATGATCTGGTCAAGCTTTTCATTGTACCTACCTTCCACAGTGGACCACCACAGCTACCAAGTCATACATTCTGTCTGGGTTGGTGGCATCTCCTGATGTGTTAAATAGCCGAAGCTCTAAAGGAAACACTACTCTGTATGACAGCTTTGTATATCGATGCAGCTGATCCATGTATTTAAACCTCTTTAAGTGGAGAGCTAAAATCATAGGCAGCTTTTTTACTTTCATCCTGAAATCAAATAACAAAAGGATTTTAAATAAAAGGAAAGGCTATTTGTCAATATTTTGCAAATCAAAATGAGAGAACTTAACCAAAACGTTTAATCTGAAAGAAAAAATGAGCCCCCGAGCAGATAAGGTGGCCCCAGCATGCATTTTAAGGAGTATTTCTAGGACTCTTGCATACAGGACATTCTGAAAACTCTCCTAGAAGCTTTTCCTTCTGACAGCAGAATTTTTGCTGAAAAACGCCTGACGCTTATAAAAGTTTAGGCACATTTACAGTCAATTGCTTGTGATTAATTTAATTAACAAAATAATAATTTATTCTAGCTATTGAAATGATTAAACGCTCAAGCGCCAAATGCGCCTAGCATTAACATACTAGTTTGCATGTTCTCCCTGTGCCTGAGTAGGTTTCCTCTGGGTACTCTGGTTTCCTCCCACACTCCAAAGACGTGCTAGTAGGTTAACTGGCTGCTGCCTCAATTGGCCCCTAGTATGTGCATGTATGAATGTGAGTTAGGGACCTTAGATTGTATGCTCCTTGAGGGCAGGGACGTAAATGTACAATATATATATATATATATATATATATATATATATATATATGTATGTAAAGTGCTAGATAAATTGAAGGTGCTATATAAGTACCTGTAATAAACGTGTTTAAAAGCATCAAGCATTTTTCCTGGCCAATCGTTGCTGCTCCTGAACACACTGGCAGAGGGTTTTTTCTCATACCTCTCAACACTGCATGGACACACAAACTAACATGGAGGGGCATTTGAAAGCAGGGTAAAAAAAAAAGAAAAAAAGACATCTAACACCCCTAAAAGCGGCAGTAAAATCGTCCTGTGTACAGGAGGCCTTAATCTGACTGGAGTGTACCTTTAATGCATTTTACACATTAGGCCCCAAGCACTCTAGACATTTTTGCTCTCTCTCCTAGACACCTTCCCTTCTGGCACTGTTGTTTCAACAGAAAAAACACTTGATGCCTGCAAACACATGTAATACATTTTAGGTGTGTCAAGCGGTTGGGTGTTAATTCATTTAATTGGGCAGAATAGTATTTTTTTTCTGGCCATTGAAATTAAGGAACACTCAATCGCTAATCATGCATTTAGACCTGTTTTCAGGTGTCGTGTTTTTTTTCTGCCAAAATACCGCTGCTCCTGGATGTGTTGACAGTAGGGGTATTTTTGGCACCTAAATGGACATGTAGGCAAAACATGCAGGGGCATTTGAGGGCAAAAAAAAAAAAAAAAAACGACCCAAAGAACAGCAGAAAAGTCTTCCAGTGTATGAGGCCTTAAGTTTTTCACAACTTGAGGTAACCAATCATGCTGCTAAATAGACCAGTATGTTTATGTGAGAACGTTTTCACGATCTCCAGTTGGGAGAAAAAAACCCCTTCCTGACCAGGCCATTTTTTAAATTACCGTGCTGCGTTACTTTAACTGATAATTGTGCGGTCATGCAACGCTGCACCCAAAATAAATTTACATCCTTTTTTTTCCCCTACGAATTGAGCTTACTTTCAGTGGTATTTGATCAACTGTACGGGTTTTTATTTTTTGCGCTATAAGAAAAAAAAAAAAAGACCGAAAATTTTGAGAAAAAAAAACAATATTTTTTACTTTTTGCTATTAAACATGTCCAGTAAAAAAATGTAAAAGATCAAATTTCGTCATAAATTTACGCCAAAATCCCAATGTGTGTAAACTAATTGGTTTATGTGAAAGTAATAGCATTTACAAATGGTGGTGTATATACTGTTAATTTTTTTTTCACTAGTAATGGTGGCAATCAGAGACTTATAGCGGGACTGCGGTGGGGCATTCTGACACTGGAGGGAACTGACTTGGTGTCACTGACATCCCCAGTGACACCAATACAGTGATTAGTGCTACAAAAAAAAAAAAAAAGCACTGACACTGTACTAATGGCACTGGGCAGGAAGGGGTTAACATGAGGGTGATCAAAGGGTTAACTGTGTGCTGGGAGTGGTTTACTGGAGGGCGGTATGTTGGTGCTTCACTGTAAGCACACTGGTCTGGATGGCTGTGCTGTACATCCAGAGCAGTGTGCCTGAGCAAACAGGGACGACGACTAAAACAGGGAGCAAACAGGGACGACGATTAAACAAAGCAGCCCTCTTCCCTTTGGAGATCCTCGGTAATCACCAGGCGCCGTCCCGGTGATTGACAGCAGTGGACGCAAATGGCAACATGTGCCCCGTACCCGTAAATGCGAAATCACATTTCTACAAGTGATTTTGTGCACCCCTGCCGCCCTGTAGCAGTATTTCTGCTATAGGGGGGCGGGGGGGAAGCGGTTCAAACCCAACTGAACGGTCAGTTTAAATCAGATAAATACATTCCAGGTGCATTAAAACAAAAGGCGTTCAATTTCTTACACTTTGTTTTCTTTCTAAAGAGTCACATCCTGAGTAGAAAGTTGTCCTCCAACATTCTGCACAGTGAGACCCTAGCTCTCTGTGCAAAAGCAGGGGTCTCCCTGCAAAGGTTCACCACATCCTGTACTGAGTCAGACCCATAGCTCTGCAATCATCAAAGCTTTTGTTTGCTGCTGAATGGAGAGCTCTGGCTCTGACTCAATAAGGGAATGTGTCAAACCTCTGCAAAGAGACCACTGCTTCCCCACAAAGAAAAAGAGCAACACTATCCAGGATTCTGGAAGAGAAAATGCTCAGACTGTGGATGATTTTTTTAATTAAACAATCATTACGCCTGTACATATCTTTGTTTGATGCTCCTGGAATATATTTGGCCAGTTTAAAATGAACATTCAGTTGGGCTTCAGCACATAGCTGTGACCCTAAATAAAACATATATATGGCTGTAAATACATTACCGTTTATGTGCTTCCTGTTTACTGCGACATTCTTCACAGTAATATTTATATTCACTACAAAGGGTTTCCGTGTTGCTAAATCCCCTAAAATGACCAAAACATCAAATGGTGATTTATGATATACGAGTTAGTGAAATCATTAGATAAAGCTACATAAAATAAAAAAAATTAAAAAATTAAGAAGGAATTACTAGACAACAAAAGGATTACCCCCAGTGATGTCCTGTATATATATAAAATACAATAAAAAAAAGTGAGCGCTCTCTAGTTAGCAGCTGAAGCACTCAAGGCAACCAATATAAAAACCTTGTCAAAAGCATAAAATAAATATGTACTTCCCTGTGCGCTCCAGACAACACCACCCACCTAGAGGGAGGATTATCCTTGTCCCAGACCAGATCCATATCCATAAAGGAGACCTCTACTGGTTCATATAATGTGTATTTACATTACGCATCTGGTGAGTGCGTAATTTTACCACACTATTTGAAGTACCACTACTGGATTTTACTGTGATTCCGCACCTTTATACCTGCACAGACTGTCACCTTTATTTTATAATATCAGCGCTGAGCGAACTATTGGCGCTTTATAAATACTGTATAATAATAATAATATCTTGGGCATTTATTTCATTTTAATTTTGATAATTTTTATTAGTGGACAAACAATCATTATACTTTTAAGTAATTTAGCACTGCACTTATTTATTTTATGATGTCCTGTATATAATGAATAAAGGTAAGTAAAATTCTGAGCTTGCAACACTGTCTTAAACTGTATAAGAGTGCTTAAAACAAAAGTATTCAGTGAAATTATCTGACAATTTGCCTGTATTTGGAGTGCAATCATATTGGCAGTCCTTGAATAACTGGCATCAAAAACACACTAAAACGTGAATGGCTAGACATTTTTTTTTGCAGACTTCTATTTATCTCTACCGAAAGGCAGCACAAGCATCATAGGATGTAATGGGGATTCAGTATATACAAGCTGAGTAAAGGCCAATGTGTAGGCCAATCTACATGGACAAATTTAAGATGACCAACCCAAGCCCCAAAAAAAAAAAAAAAAAAAAAAAAAAAACTACTACTGCTAATGACTTTCTACCAACCAGGATCTGATCAACCAAGATAGACAGTAAGCCCGGGTTCACAGATATGTGGTGCGGTACATCGCATGTGATTCGCACAGGAACCGCATCGCAAATCACATGCGATTTGTGTGCAGTGTGATTGGAGCCATACATTTTATATGGCTCGAATCACACTGCACCAAAAAGGTGCAGAGCCCTGTTTTTGGTCCGCACTAGAATAGGATCGCATGGGTATTCACATCTATGCGATCCAATTCTGCACATCGCTCAGCATTTTGCGGACCAATTTTGGGGTGTTGTTAACATACACACCCGCAGCAGTCCACATGAACGGGGTGCAATTCTGAATTCGTAGAGAAAACGCTGCAAATTCTGGACCGCATTAGTGTGAACCCAGGCTTAGGGAAGAGAAGGCAACAATTGTTTGAGGACTATAACCCATAGGATTACAAAACTAGGTATTTTACACATAGGCTGCATTCCCTTTCCAAGACAAAACTAACAGTACTGGGTGGAGGTCTTCTTTACATGTCAAGACCATTAACACGGTAAACATTTACATCAAATTTCTGCTAGAAAACAAAAAAAGAAATAAAACAATATGGTGAAAGAAACAATCTGACAGCTTTATAGTAATACACAATTACTTGACATTATTTAATTTAATGAAACAAAATTTGCATGTTTAAATAATTACCTTAAACAATGAGTAATCGATGTATTTTGTTCTACATCAACAGAAAGGTCTAGAAAATCTTCATCTTTACTGCTTATCTGTAGAACAGAAAGGTATTTAGAACTTGAAATATTAAATTTAATTTGACGTTGACTGCGGATCGAGAAAGATAAACTTAGCTAGCAAAGTACCTGGACTTGAGTGCTTTTTACGTTCACTGTATTCATATTTTATGTGACTGTCACCTTTTTTAGATTTGTGCATCTATACTGTAGTATGGTTAATAAAGATTTAAACATTAGCCACTAGAGGGATCTATGCACTTCTCTGCAGTCACTATGTTTTCCTGCTTAACAGCTGTTGAGTAACATTCAGGGATGTACACATTGTGTTGTCTGCATATAGCCCATATCCCACATCCATTGCACAGGGACTATAATTACCAACACATTATACCATGTGGCAAAGTAAATAAAATAGTGTATTATAGCTACATTATATCAATGGACAACCAGTATGAAAACAATTAACCACTTGCCTACCGGGCACTTATACCCCCTTCATTACCAGGCCAATTTTCAGCTTTCAGCGCTGTCGCACTTTGATTGACAATTGCAAGATTGTACCCATATGAAATTTTTAGCATTTTTTTCTCACAAATAGAGCTTTCTTTTGGTGGTATTTATTCGCCGCTGGGCACTTTCCTTTTTGCGCTATAAACAAAAAAAGTGCAAAAAAATTTGAAAAAAAAGTTTCTTTGTTTCTATTATAACATTTTTCAAACAGGTAATTTTTCTCCTTAACTGATGTGCGTTGATGAGGCACCACTGATGGTAACTGATAGGCAGCACTAATGAGGTGTCACAGATATGCGGCACTGATAGGCAGCACTAATGAGGTGTCACAGATAGGCGGCACTGAGACAACACTGACAGGTGGCACTGACTGGCATCACTGCTGGGCACTGACTGGTGGCACTGCTAGGCATTGACTGGCACAACCACTGGGCACTGACTGGTGGCACAGACTGGCAGCACTGATGGGCACATGTGGGTGGGCACAGGTGGGTGGCACTGCTGGGCACAGGTAGGTGGCACTTCTGAGCACAGGTGTGTAGCACTGCTGGGTGTCACAGGTGGGTGCACTGCTAGGCACAGGTGAGTGCACTGCTGGGTACAGGTGGGCGCACTGCTGGGCACAGGTGGGCGGAACTGGTGGGTGGCACTGCTGGGCACCGATCATCAGGGCACTGATCATCAGTGCCCTGATGATCAGTGCCGATCCCTGCTCTGACAACTGCCAGTTTTCGGCAGTATTTTCCTTGCGCTCTGACAGCGTGAGGAAAGTGCAGCCGAGAACCGGCAATTGCATTTCCCGGTGATCAGCGTGTCATTGGACATGGCTGATCACACGGTAAAAGGCCGCTGTGATTGCCCTTTTACCACATCACGTGATCAGCTGTGTCCAAAGGAGATCGCCGGTTGTGCGCCCCCGGGGGCACGCAGCAGAGCGCGTTCTGGGAGGATGCCCTCCCAGAACTGGCCGGCCGCAGTGTAGCCGTCATTCGGCTATCTGCGGTCGGCAGGTAGTTAATTTACCTATGTAGGTAAAATTAAATGTATATGAACATTTTCCACATATATAATGGTCTTTATTGTCCAACTGAACCTTTAAAGCCTTTAGTTTAAATCAGCTAAGCATATTCCAGGTGCAGCAAAACAAAAAGTGTTTGATGTTATATAGTTTTTCTTTCTACAGCCACCTCATCCTATGTAGAAAAGCCTCTCCTTTGCAGAAGCTGCAGAGTGACCTCCTTGCTCTCTGAGGTCTGACACACTTACTACAGAGTCAGACCTATAGCTCTACAATCAGCAAAGCTCATGTTCCCTGTTGATTTAAGTGCTTTGAGCAACACAGAGCATCAGCAGACCTCTGCCAAAAGATCACTGCTTCTCCACAGAGAGGCCAGAGAGGTTGTGACTGTTTTGGAAAAAACTTTTAAAACACTTTTTTTTAAATTATTATTATTATCATCATGATACCCTTGGTTTTGATTGCCTGGATTGTATTCAGCCAATTTAAACTATAAGTGTTGTTGCAAAGGGTCTGACTACTTATGCCAATGTGATATTTCATTTTTTGATTTTTAATAAATTCACAGACATTTCTAAAATTCTGTTACATTCTGTTGTCATTATAGGGCACTGTGTATAAATTAATGAAAAAAAAATGAATTTAAAACAACCAAAGTGTCAGGCTGCAACATCACAAAATAGAAAAAATGAAGGGGGTCTAAGACTGGCCATACATTATACAATTTTCTTGAGAATTTTGCTTTAGATTTACCAACAAACATAATATGAGATCAAACCTAAACAACACTTTCATATGTATCCAATTAGGCAGGCCCTTGCGCTACATACAGTTGTGACCAAAATTATTCAACCCCCAATGCTGTAAAGGGGTTTAGGGACTATAGTGTACATTTGGAATTGTATTCAGAATCAAATCCTACAAGGACGTTGTAACTACCCAAATGCAACTAAAATGACATCAATTGTTTATGTAATACAGTAGTAAATGGTTCTTATGTGGTTTCTTCATTGCCACAATTATTCAACCCCTTAAAGACTACCACTCTGAAGAACAGAGTTCATACAGGTGCTTTCCATCAGGTATTGAAAACACCTGTGGATGTCACCGAGCAGCAATCAAGCATAATAAGCACCAATTAGGCAGCTTTAAAATGACTGTGATACTCAGCTCCTTCTAGACATTTACTGGTGTGGTTACAAACATGGTGAAGGCAAGAGAATGGTCCAGGAAGACAAGAGAAGAGGTGATTTCTCTTCACAGGAAGGGCAATGGCTATAAGAAGATTGCAAAGATGTTAAACATACCAAGAGACACCTTAGGAAGCATCATTCGCAAATTCAAGGCAAAGGGCACTGTTGAAACGCTACCTGGTCGTGGCAGAAAGAAGATGCTGACTTCGACTGCTGTGCGCTACCTGAAGCGTAGAGTGGAGAGAAGTCCCGTGTGACTGCTGAGGAACTGAGAAAAGATTTGTCAGATGTGGGTACAGAAGTTTCAGCCCAGACAATAAGACGCACACTGCGTAATGAAGGCCTCCGTGCCAGAACTCCCAGGCGTACCCCCTTGCTGTCTCCAAAGAATAAGAAGAGTCGACTGCCAGTATGCCAAAAGCCATGTGGAAAAACCACAAAAGTTGTGGGATAGTGTTCTGTGGACTGATGAAACAAAATTAGAACTGTTTGGGCCCATGGATCAACGCTATGTTTGGAGGAGGAAGAACAAGGCCTATGATGAAAAGAACACCTTGCCTACTGTGAAGCATGGTGGAGGGTCAATCATGCTTTGGGGCTGTTTTGCTTCTGCAGGTACAGGGAAGCTTCAGCGTGTGCAAGGTACCATGAATTCTCTTCAGTACCAGGAGATATTGGATGGAAACGTGATGCAGTCCGTCACACACCTGAGGCTTGGGAGACGTTGGACCTTTCAACAGGACAATGATCCCAAGCATACCTCCAAGTCCACTAGAGCATGGTTGCAGAGGAAAGGCTGGAACATTTTGGAGTGTGGCCATCGCAGTCACCAGACTTAAATCCGATTGAGAACCTCTGGTGGGACTTAAAGAAAGCAGTTGCAGTGCGCAAGCCTAAGAATGTGACTGAACTGGAGGCCTTTGCCCATGAAGAATGGGCGAAGATACCCGTAGATCGCTGCAAGACACTTGTGTCAAGCTATGCTTCACGTTTAAAAGCTGTTATAACTGTAAAAGGATGCTGTACTAAGTACTAAGATTGAATGTCACTTGGGGGTTGAATAAAACTGATAATGCTGTGAGCACAGAAAAGACATTTGTGGTTATTTCATTATAACTGTTATGTTATATTTGTCTGACCTACAAGTGCCTCTTTAATGTAAATGTAAGCAAGATGACTGAATGATCAAAAGCAATGTCAAACTGGCCAAAAACACTCAATTTCAGTGGGGGTTGAATAATTTTGGTCACAACTGTAGTTGAAGGTAAGTCTAAACAGAAAATGGTAAGAAAAATTGTATATTTTATGGCCAGTCTAAATACTTTATGAATCCGCTCAGGAAAAAAATGAAAATGTTGTTAGTGAGGTGTGCTTAAATGCGCACACAAAACAGAAAGCACCTGTAACATGTTAATGTATATTTAAATCCAAAACTTTTGGTTAGATGTAGATAGAAATAGGGAATGTTTTTTTTTTTCTTTGCTGTGTCTCATTGGTGATATTTCCCTTCAAGTGACAAGAAGTGAAGGAAAATCTCCCAGAGGGGACAAAAAAATAAAAAAAAAAAAGGAGGGGGAAAAATCTCTTTTTAAACAGCTGTCATTGGAAGATGTTCTCCTACCTCCTGTTCTGTTGACAGCTCTTAAAATTAGATCAGAGCAGCTATTACAGCAAAAGGCTTGCCACAAATATTAATCAAAAAATCTTACCGTTTCACAAGTAAGACACCTTGTTTCATTAGTTAATGTTCCCTGAAAGATCTCATGAACCCATGTGGGGTCTGGTGTGCTGTTGTTGTTCTCATTGTCGATGTTACCATTCGGTATTCGACCATTTTGTTTCTCTTGCTTTCTCTCTTCCTGCAAAATGTCAGCTATTGTGTTGAGCAGGTAGTTTAGGAACTCATGGGCATCCTGCTGCATGTAGTTGTCGAAGAGTTCTGAAATTGAAGTAACAAGTTTCCATCAGTACCAAAACAATATTTCTATAAGATGTGTTCTTATGAACAATGGTCAAAGCTTTCTATATAAGGATTAAAAATGTAGACTGTGATGATCTGTAGGTACCCCTAATAAAACTGGGTAGGTTTATATGCAGGTTCAACAAATCGGAAGACTGCATTATTTGGGTGGCTCACTCCTAAAGTGATTTCAGGTTTGGATATTTAAAGCTCAACACCACTTAGTTTTGAATAAAACGAGGGTTGGGTTAAGACATTTTTTTTTAGTTGTGTGCGTCTTCAGAGCAGATATCCCTCTCTTAGTCCTTGTGCCACCAAGAAAGATGGAAAACCAGAGTCACTGTCAAAGACAGCAATAAAAATATGAAATATTCAAATCTTTCCACACTGTACTAACAAAAAAAAAAAACAAGAAAAAAAAAAGTCTGAGTGCCGTTAACCACTTGCCTACCGGGCACTTTTACCCCCTTCCTTTCCTGACCAAATTTTCAGCTTTCAGCGCTGGCACACTTTGAATGACAATTATACGGTTATGCAACACTGTACCCATATGACATTTTTTATCATTTTTTTCACACAAAATAGAGCTTTCTTTTGGTGGCATTTAATCATCACTTGGTGTTTTATTTTTTGCACTATAAATGGAAAAAAAAAAAACAAACAAAAAAAAAAGGTTTTCATTGTTTCTATTGTAAAATTTTGCAAACAGGCAATTTTTCTTCGTCACTGGTGTGCATTAATGAGGCTGCACTGATGAGGCGGCACTGGTGGGCATTGATGAGGCACTGCTAATGCTGCACTGACATGTGGCACTGAAGGGCACTAATAGGTAGCACTGAAGGGCATGTACTGGCGGCACTACTAATCAGTGCCCTGATTATCAGTGCAGATGTCTGCTTCCGGTTACCAGAACTGTGACAGCGTGAGGAAAGTACTGCTGATAAGCGGCAAGTGTATTTACATAGTAGTTAGCTGTGATTGGACACAGCTGATCACATGGAAAATGCCGGTGTGATTGGCCTCTTGCTGTGTCATGTGATCAGCTGTGTCCAAAGGACACAGCAATCACAAACAGCGCAGGGTGCGCTCCGCTGGGGACGCGTTCTTGGAGAACATCATATGGCTCCCTCCCAGAACTGGACTACCGCGCTGTAGCCATCATTCAGCTATAGCGTAGTAGTAAAATGGTTAAAAAGATTTCCCATCTGTTTCAGGTCTGTCTGACAATCTGTCACTGGAACAGGGAGATCTACCCAGTGGGACATGGGAGGACAAAAAAAAAAAAAAAAAAACCCCGACAAGAGGCTTTACTACTTCCCAACCCTATTGAAACAAGAGTTTCAGTTGGATCTGAGCTTGCAATAATACCCTATGCTGTGCTTTATTAAAGTGGAACTTTAGTCAGCAAGTGCGTTATCATCTAGAATCCAGTAATACACAGACTCGCCCTGCTCTGCATATGCTCAGTTGCTCTAATTTTTTTGGCACTGTGCTGAATATGTGTAGGCAGATCTGTTGACAGCCTAAAGATTTACTGCTGCTCATGGACTCTGGGCTTTAACAAAATGGCAGCCTCCAGCAAAAAGAAAAGAGGAACAATGCCGGAGGCAATTTACAGCACGCACGCATTTTGGCAGTATAATTATTCATGTAGAATGTATGTTCCTTACTAAAGAACATTATATTTTATCAAGCTGTTAGGAGTAAAGTTCTGTTTTAAGTTATGTGGGCATATTAAAGCATTCTGAAAATATGTGTTGGTCTTGGAGTCAATGTGAAAACTTCTGATCTTCCACCGACCTCAATTAAATTATCTATGTACGCTGGGTGCCAACTGGTTTTAAGGTCCTGGAATTCACCAGCTCTCATGTGAGACTGGTCAAAAAGGAAATGAGAAAGTCATGTATGCTATACCAGTTGTTATGAACCTTAGGAAGACCAGAGCCCGGTAAATTCTTCCAAGACCTTCAATGGCCCAACACAGCCGTGATCAAAGGGTAGGTCATAACTGACCCGTTGCCAATACACATTCTAAAGCTTTTCTACTCTACCCATAACAAAAAAAATAATTATAAATTACAGGTACACTTTAAAGTGATTCTAAAGACTTACATTAAAAAAAAAAAAAAAAAACATCTATACTTCCCTGCTGTGTGAAGTGATTTTGCACAGAGCAGCCTGGATCATCCTCTTCTTGGGTCCCCGTCAGGTGCTCCTGGCAGTTCCTTCCTGTCGCGTGCCCCCACAGCAAGCAGCTTGCTATGGGGGCACCCAAACGTATATTCCCAAGCAGCTGCTCTCTGTGTCCATTCACACATGGAGCTGTGGCTCGACCCCGCCCCCTCTTTCTTCTTATTGGCTTACTGGCTGTGATTGACAGCAGTGGGAGCCAATGGTTCCACGCTGCGGTCTCAGCCAATGAGGAGAGGGAGTCCTGGGATAGCCGAGACTCCAGTGCACAACGCTGGATCGAAAGGGGGCTTAGGCGAGTATTATTGGGGGCTGCTGCACAGAGAAGGTTTTTTTACCTTCATGCATAGAATGAGTGAAGATAAAAAAACCTTGAGTCTTTACAACAACTTTAAATCAATAACTTATATTAAGAAGCTATAGGGCTGCTCCATTAAAACTGAAGAGAGGAAAAATAGCACACGATTGGTTGCTGTAGGATACAACTCCTATCAAATGCTTGTTTATGGGTTCCCCAAAAATAAATAGTGAAACTGGTAGTTTCCTATTAGTTACAACTTTTTTTTATGTAAGTTAAGTCCCAGGAGCAGTGCCTCTTCATCTGCCAGTCAGAATGGATACAAACTTGGAATGGATACAACAAGCAATTTCAAACGGAGTATCAACAAAGGAAGCATTGTGTCTGACAGACAGAAGAGAAAGGTTTTCAGGATAAGGGTAGTGTGCAACTCCAACAGCAGAAAATAAATGCCAAGGAAGAAAATTCAAAAGTGAGTGCATACCTCAAGCTAACCACTCCTCAGAGCCGCACACACATATCCTAGGAGTACATTGCATGCTTTCAATGCCAACCTAGTCGGATCAGAACACTGGCTAAATGGTTAGCACTTCCGCCTGGCAGTACTAGGGTCGTTGGTTTGAATCTGGGTACTCTGCTTTCCTCCCACACTCCAAAGACATGCTGGCAGGTGAATTAGCTCCTGTCTAAATTGACCCTAGTATGTGTATGTATAAATGTAAATTAGGGACCTCACATTGTAAGTCCCTTGAGGATTAGGGACTGATGTGAATGTACAGTATATGTAAAGCGTTGTGTAAATTGATGGCGCTATATAAATACCTGTAATAAATAAAATAAACCTACCATGTGTGCTGCAATTCACCTGCAGGAGGTTTGTGTCATTTTCAGAGCATCTCTGTGCTGATCAAAAAGATCAAAAAGCTCTGAAGTCACCTGCTGGCTTCTATTGGCCTCCCCCAAGTTGTCGGTGCTCCCTCCCATCAGCTGCAGCAGTCGCTGATTGATACAGGTATCCGCAGCTTAGCAAACACAAGAATGAGCACCTATCCATCGGAGTGGGGATGTAAAGGATTGTTCCTGAGAGTGCCTGGAGAGACCTGTGGAAGCAGAGGATCCAGTGGGATTCATATTGAGCGCATGTTGACCTCTACTTTCTATGGGTCAGCAGTTAAGGTGAGCATGCATGCCTGAAGGTGGAGGAACACGATAGATTTGCACACCTGTTGAAGTCACTGGTGCATTACTTTAAATGTTGGAAGAAAGATTGTTATATCACTTCTGGACTGTTTTTTGCACTTTATTAAGTGTTATCTATCATTCACCATTTATCTGTTTTTTTGTATGTTCCGTAGAGCAGCTTTTTTTTTTCCCCCTCTCTCTTTCTTTTAACACGCACTTTTTGTGAATATCCAGCCCAGTTGAACATTTACTTGATTCATCACATTTATCCACTGGTGGGCTGATTGCTCAGCCTGGCATTTGTTTTACATTATTTTATAATGTTTTTGTTGATTTTCACACTTTATGCTTTAGGTCAGCCGGGTGTTTACTGCCATTGTGATCGTGTTTTATTTCTGATATACGTTTTACATATTTCACGGTTTTTGTTGTATTTTTTTTACACTTTATTCTTCAGCTCAGTTCGGTCTTTATTGCTACTTGATTTTGGTTTAATTTTGATATGTTTATTTCACATATTGTGATTTAGTGACTCAGACAGTTTTTGTTTTATTTACTACTGACTGTTTCACAGATTTATTCTATTACACATTGGGTTTGATGCTCAGGAGTGTGTTTATTATTATTGTATTTTCTTGGGTCGCTAGGGGGCAGCGCAGCACTATTCTTGGGGAGTTTTACTGATGTGGGAACACCTTTAGGTGCTTGCAGCAGCTTATCATTTATTTGTGGCAGCACATAAGTAATATATCCTTATTAAGGTCAGCCTTACTTGCCGTATCTGGCGCTGCAATTGTCAGTACTGAAAGAGAACCGATCCAAGTCAAGCCAAAAAGGAAAAGCACCAACATCCCGTGCTGAGCACTCAAGATCCACAATAAAGAAAAGGGGGCAGATGGATTTTTAGACTTTATTAGGATCTAGTCCTAAATTACTTCCCATAAAACATTATTTTCATTTGTGTTGGAGACAGCGCCATTCAAGGCCTCTATAGATGTGAACAGATGTGTGCAGCACAGAGGCACAGCAAGCTTTGATTATTGCAGTAATCACCATCCTGTTGGAGCTTCAGCCAAAAAAATAATACAAATTCCTTGTTTGCAGCTTAGAGTTATAAATATGCATCAGGTTGAGCCTTAGAGTTTAAGATTCTACATGAAAGCCTGCTTAGATACATTACATATGCTAAAACTAGAACACGTATACAGTATTACACTTGAAGAGAAACTATAATTTTTTTCTGGAAATGTAAAGGACAAAAACATAAAATGTGAAGAAAAAAATAAATCAATAAAGGTACAGTATATAT